CTGTCGCTGTCCCCTCTCGCTGTCGCTGTCGCTGTCGCTGTCCCCGTCCCCGCAGTCTCACCCGGGCGTGGCTCCGGGCTCGGGGCGGGATCTCCATCCTGGGGAACACTCGGGGTCCCCCGGCCGGGGGCTGGCACCGGATCCCGGGGGCTCGGCCGAGCTCCCGCAGCGCCCGGCGGGCGTTGGAGGCCAAGTCCCGGCACAGGGCCCGGCGGTGCTGTAATTAACGCATTAATTAATGCGTTAATTAACGGATTAATGGAATTCATTAATTAATGGGATTAATGGGATTAATGGGGTCGGGATGGGATCCAGCTCCCGCAGCGCCCGGCGGGCGTTGGAGGCCGAGCCCCGGCACAGGGCCCGCCGGTGCTGGAATTGTGGGATTAATTAATGGCATTAATTAATGGCATTAATTAATGGGATTGATGGGATTTGGATTAATGGGATTAATGGGACTAATGGGATTAATGGGGTTGGGATTAATAGGATTGATGGGATTAATGGGGTTGGGATTAATGGAATTAATGGGATTGAGATTAATGGGATTAATGGGATTGATGGGACTACTGGGGTTGGGATTAATGGGATTAATGGGATTGAGATTAATGGGATTAATGGGATTAATGGGATTAATGGGGTTGGGATGGGATCCAGCTCCTTCTGGAATTATGGGATTGGGATTAACGGGATTAACGGGATTAATGGAATTAATGGGATTGAGAATAAGTGCATTGAGGTGATTCGTGGGATTGAGATTGAGATTAATGAGTATTAATTAGTATTAATGAGAGTAATGGGATTAATGGGAGTGACGGGATTAATGGGATTGGGATTGATAGGATGGACTGGATAAATGGGATAGAGACTAATAGGGCTTGGACTAATTAATGGATTAATGGGATTTGTGAATCATGGGATTAATTGGATTAATGGGATTAATGGGATTGGGTTTAATGTGATTTGGATTAATGGGTTAATGGGATTGGGATTAATTGGATTTGGATTAATGGGATTAATGAGATTAAAGGGATTTGAATTAATGGCATTGGGATAAATGGATTAAAGGGATTGAGATTAATGGGATTAATGGGATTGGGGTTAATGGGATAATGATATTAGGGTTAATCAGACTGATGGGATTAATGGGATTGCAATGAATGGGATTGGGATTATTGGGATTAGGAATTGCATTAATAGGATTATTGAGATTAATGGGATTTGGATTGAGATTAATTAGATTATTATTAATGGCGTTGCTATTAACTGGATGGGGATTAATAGGATTTGGATTATTTGGATTAATGGGATTAATGGGATTAATGGGATTAATGGGATTAATGGGATTGAGATTGATGGTCTGGGATTAATGAGATCGACTGGATTGGGATCAATGGGATTAACGGGATGGATATTAATTGGTCAGGGATTAATGGGATTAATGGGATTGGGGATAATGGGATTGGGATAACAGGAAAATGGGATGATGGGATTTC